GGAAGATACAACATGACATGATTGGGAGCTGTGGAGAAGAACCCTTGACAGTTTTCCGGGAGACGCTTTTGTTTCTCATTCTCAATGGATGTGCATATAAGGGATTGACCTCCAAATCGACCATGCTTCACTTCATTAATGAGGAGGAGCTCACCAGCTTGAACTGAATGAGATACATTTGAAGGATTCCCATGAGCTTTTGTGGCACATATTATCTTTGGCATGTCCTTTTGTGCAAGGACATCCTTCACAGACTTAAACTCAAACCCAGTAACTGCTTCCTTTGGATTATTGTTTGGATCATAAACGAGTGAGAAACGGGCAGCAGAATTCAACGGGACTCTGACCAGTTGTCCAGTACCAGTCTCTATGACAGCAACTGATAGCTGCTTGATGAAGTGAAAGTTAAGACGATCTCCTTCGGAGAAAGTATCACACTCAGAGTCCCCAAAATAACCAGCAGAGACCTCAACACGGAGCGGAAACTCATTCTGATGATACGCGACCAGCTGCTTGAGCGTCATTGACTCCGATACAGGGACATAATTGACAGGAGAGGGTGCCCGACCAAAACTACAAACGGAGACTGAATCCAGTGAGACACTACTAGGCCCCCTTCCAACTCCAGCACTTGACTTCATTGATTTGGGTATATCGTACATGCTGGATCTATCGGTTGAGAGGGAGCTTGACGTGCTCTCTCGTTTGGAGGGCGGGGTTGTTGCACTATGATACGATGACACTGGAACTGATGACTTGCGAGGCGGCAATGGAGGACGAACAGAGGCATCAGGGAGACTAGGACGCTGTACCTTATTATCCATATTGAAGAAAGCACTTTGGGACTTCTTTACCATTGCAAGAGCCGACACAGGAGGTAATGGTGGAGGAGTATCAATGTCATGCTCGACGGCAATTCTCCTCGAGGGAGGGGGAGTCTTAGACACCGGGCGGGCTGGTGGTAAAGTATCGTAAGAGGAGTAAGGTAGCTCAGGTAGTGGTCGCTCTATTGGCAACTGTGGCAAAGGACGTCCTGGTTGCATTATGCAGTACTTGATTTACCACTGTTAGCAGGCAGACTGATATCAATGAGAAACACCCTAAGAAAAAGACAATAGCATACTGTTATCTTATATACAGCTCATTCAGTTCATCAACACACAGACTCACAGTCTCTGACCTAAAATAACTGCAAGCTCAAAAATTACAGGCTACAAAGGATTGGAATAGAAATGAAGACCTTGGCCTAATGGCATTAGCACGGTTTAATGCAGGGAAGGCAGGAGTATGCCATAACGAGATTTATAGACTAAATACTAGGATATGTTTACAAATACTACTCTACAACAACTGTGAGCCAGCGGCTCGTTTTACCTTGTACAGTCCAGTGTATAGCAATAGCAGGGACTAGGACTTCACACGTATTTGAACAGTATATAAAGGGCTGCTGGCAAAAAGAACGTTAGAGACTGAGAGAGAATGCAGTCAAGAGCGTCTACAAAGGCCCTATCTATTCCTTTCCGTTTTTTAATTAATAATCAAATTTATGTGGTCAAGTTATTAGTACACAATCAATCATTGCTATGTTTTCCAAAATGGTTCCACGTGTCATTAATATTATCACTGAAATCCAACAACAAAAAGCACAAAATAAAAAAAGAACATGAGAAATACAATAAATTAATGCAACCAAACATTAAAAACAAATTTTAACACTGTACACTGCATCGGTTGCAAGAGAAATAAAAAAGAAATACAAAAAAATCATTATCAATGTAACAATAAATTATTACAGACATTGTGTATGTGCATGGATGAGCGTATTATTATTATCATCAATGTCATTATTCAGTTGCTTGAGACTGGGCCTCTAGTAGCTTCCAAACAGCTTCTCTTCCCTCAATAAAGAGCATCATCCTTATGCGGTCAGATTGGCTTGTCATGCCTAAATCCTGTGAGAGGACAGTGTCATTATATTGGACCAGCTCCAAACCAGTCACCCTTTTCACAGAGAAGGTATTTTTATACTGAGAGAGGGAGAGCAGATCCAAGGCCTGCAGTACCTAGAATTCATGTTTTAATACATTTTGTAGCATAGTAGATATTAAGTAATTTGTATTCCAGTTGCAATACGTTTATATTTAAAATATACAATTCCCAATTGGCATACATTAACACTGCGTGACATACAGTGTTAAGGAAGTAATGAAAGTGTGTGATTTAGCTAGTGAATGAAACTGAATAGTTGCAGTAGCTCGCTTGCAGTAAACAATGTGTTTACATATAGAGAGAGGGCAGTAGGAAAAGAGAGAGAGAATGCCTGTATATATAATTAGCTTGATTTGTTAATTCAGTGGTTGTTATCAGTTATCCTAGTAGCATTAAATGCACATAGCAGATCCGACATTACTATAGTACACATTCATTTACCTGGTCTGATGTAAACGCTTTCAATATTTCCTTATTCTCCACTTCAACAGGTGTAGCTCCAGATTTAATAACAGATACATATTCACCAATGTTCTCCTTTAATAATGTCACGTCAGATTCAAGCTTGCCAATCACATTGTACATCTCTGAAGAAGCAAAAGAATAAAAGGTTACTTATTAATGGAGCTAATATGCTGGTACCTCTTTTGATTGAACCAACAATTGATTTGGTTTGCCTCAAGTCTTGCTTAAGACCTTCAATTTCAGCTAAAAAAATAATGCATTGATGTTAGTAAATATAGAGATACTACTCCAGCTGGAATAAAGATCATGTGTGCATTTCTATTATTAATAACAATGTATCCTTTTCTGTGAATCAGTTGGGAAAAATGGACAATATCCTTTGAGCTGGATTTAAATGTGTCCCTTAAAGATACTAGTACCTTCTATTGATAGAATTACTGTTGCTAATTTGATCAAATTTTAGAGTAACTTTAAAATCAAATTTTATTAGACTTAGCTCAAAAGTTTGGCCCAATTTTGGAACAACTTTAAAAATTCATTAAAAATCCAAATTTGATCAAAATCAACTCAAACTTTATACACAACATAAGTACATGTATATCTATCAAAAAATATTATTAAAATGGAGAATTTTTACGTAGTCATTTTTGTCAAAATTTGGTCTGAGACCATGTACTATAGTACAGGGACTTTGGCCCAATTTTGGAGCAACTTTAAAAATTCGTAAAAAATCCAAATTTAATTGGAATCAGTTCAAACTTTCTATACAACATATAAACATGTATATGAATCAAGAAAAATTATAAAAATTGAGAAATCTCTCCTCTTCATTTTTGGTGAAATTTGGCCAAACGCCCTGTACTATTAGTAACGCGGTAGCGTTACTAAGTAGGATTCACCCCCAAACAAAATGGCTGCCACGACTTTTGCAGCCTTGCTATACCGGGAAAACGAGCTCCTATGCTTACCAGACTTCTTAGAGGACCTTATCTTGACCAGAGGACTCCAATGGTACCCATAGCGTGGCTCTAGACCTTTTCTGGGAGAAAAATCAAAAATCTGCAAACCGGCCGTTTTGTTCAGCCACCTTTTTTCATCTTCATCATCATCATCAGGAAAGTCCTGTCAATCCAGTTGTCGGTCGATATATCGATCTTGCCTGGTGATAGAAGGCTAATTCTTACACCATTCTACTCCAACAGGGTATGCGCAGGTCCTTGTCCCCTAGAATCATTCTCCAAGAAAGGAAAAAGTGATACTGTGACTGTTGGATCGCACCAGCTTACCTCATGCCGCCATTTTGTTAATTAAATAAAGAAGCATGTGCTCCAAAATTTGGGCGTGGTCGCGCATGCT